TGCAATAACTAGGCTAGCACTAGTGCAACTTTATACACATAACTAGCAGTACTATAGGGAGTTAGTTTGCCCAGTTAAATTTTGTTTAATATCGGCTTTCACTAGATGCAATATAAATTTTAATTTAAAGACATTAAACAAAAGAGAAATGTAAAAAAAAAAAAAAAAAAAGAAGAAGTTCAGTGTTTCAAATTGTTCCTGCATTCTGGTGGCTACAAAATGGAGGCAAACAAGCCATGTTCACGACTGCTAAAATCAAACTTTGCTATCAGTTTCATAGCAAGAGGTGTTCTACCTTCTGCTAAATTTTCATGGCTAAATAACAATAGAAAAGCAAATGTTCTATCAGTTAAACTGGGTATTCTCTTAGGCGCCAACATGGATAGGTTTTTCCCAAAGTGTTTTTATATGCAGATAAACTGGTGATAATTCAGGCTGATGACACAAATAAGCAGATTTCCGATTCAAATGATGTAACAAGCTGAAAAAAGAAAACACTTCTGCAATAACAATAGTTTGTTTTTATATTCTTGGATTCTGGCTTTACACAGATGGTTACATTCTCCTTCCTAAAAGAGACACTGCAGTGGTTGCTCCTCCAGGGTTCTGCTGATCTGGTGTGCATTCACATGCTGAAATGTGCAGTGTACAAAAGCTGTGACCTTGTCCTTTCTTTAGTGCTGTTGCCCACCACTAATTCAGGATGTGCCACATCATCTCTGGTGCTTATTCCAGTATGATGGAGCCACACAGATGCTCCACCATGTCCTTGGTGGCTACAGGCTGGCAGTGAGGTGCGCTGACAAGATCGAGTTTCCAGTCTGCTAGTGCACCTGGATACCAGGAGGGTTTTAGCGCTGGCGTGGTGTCTCAAGCTGGATCTGGTTAGAAATTCCAGCATATAATAAGCAGGAGCCAAAATCCTGGGCCAGGCCAATGGTATTCTACCTCTGTTAATGCCTGATTTTTCTGAGGAAAGTGCAGAAAAATATTTTTAATTTTTTGAACCTTTTAGGTTCAAAGTTCATTAGTAGCCAAACTTAGAGAAAGTTCAAAGTTCTCTGTAAATCAAGGAACAGAAATACCTTCGTGTTAATTTTTTCCAGGTCACATCACAGCATATTCACTTGCTATATCCATCCAGATATGATTTAATATAAGTTGAAAATAAAAAGAAAATATAATTTTGAAGCTATTCTCCAAATTCTGTAGAGCTAGCAGGGAATCTTCTAGCAGCAGTCAGATTTGTTAACATATTTCTGGATATCCATTCTTGTAAAGAATCAGAAAGACCCTTATCCTTCTTCCATGGTGATATCTGAGCTTTGCAGGGTTACACAATAGCTTCCACAGCCATTATGAGAGAAGTGAGGTACTGGCATTCCTCGTAGCAACGTTAGAAGAATGAAAATGTATGTTTCTTTGTATTCGCAGAGTGCTTTTCATTCAGAATGATTATGGTTCAAACACTGCAATTGTTCTGTTCCCATCTAAGACACAGCCTACAGTGGACTGCTCAAAAACTGTTATTAAATAATAAAGAAAACAAGACAGATTAGGGCATGCACCAGTACAGCTCAATGGAGTTCTTTTAAATATTTGTCCCAGTGTATCACAATCCAGATTGCAAAGGCAGAACTGAAAGTACTGCAGATCTGTAAGCCACAAGGTTTTAAAATACAAGGTTCCACACAGAGCAAACGATTTTTAAAGGATGAAGTTTAAAATGAAACTTGCAATCAGGATTTAGGGGACAATCCCCCCAAACTAAACTGTTTTCCACAAAAGCTCTATAAATTCTTGGACACCACCACTGATGCTCAGGGACTGACATTCAATTAGATGAAATAATTCTCTGCACACTCACAGTTTAACATAAGAACTGTCGTATACACACATACATTCTCTCTTCTAATGAATTCCCCATAAAAATATTTTTTTTCTCAATTACTCATTAATCACAGCTGTGCTGAAGGGCTCTCATTTGAAAGTAAAGGGGGATATTTTCCTTCAGATCAATGACCTGTGTGAACCTAAAATTTGTAAATGTATTTTATGCAGAAGTTCAGGAATTATGTTGCAGTTGTTACAGTTAATACTTCCATTCTCCCAGGGAAGAACCACTCCCCCTTGCTCGCAAAGCAGAGGTGGGATGCATCGCACGAGTCTAAATGTCTGGAACAACACATGCACACATGTTGTGCGTCGGGTGGGTTGAGATTTATGTCCCTTGTACAGCAGAATTGTTTGGGTCATACAGTGGCCATTTGTCCAGAATTTCTCCACGTTTTTCATCTGTCAAAAGCCTGAAAATCCAGTGGAACCGAAGTGTAGGAACAAGAGAATGGGCAGGTAATTGCCCACTCAGAAATAAGTCTGGAGAGCCAGCCTTCCTGGAGCTGCCCGCAGGTCAGGCAGCTCTCTACAGCACTGCTGTAAGTTTCACAACTGCCCATACCTAGGTAGCATCAGAGGATGCGCTTCCCACACCGAGCCCTCTCCTTCCTCTGTATCCTCTCTTCCCCAGTGTGGTAGAGTGTGTCACTTACATCAGATGGCTTAAACCCAGCTGTGAATGAGAGACATTATTTGCTCTTGGATGGACAAAACAAAGAGAAAACGAAAACTTTCATTTGCCACATCATTTCTTTCTGTGTGAACCTGTTGCCCACCCTTTTCCTTTTGTCTCTAAGCGGCTTCCTCCAGCAACATTTAATCACAGCGAATGCTCTCTCCCGGGAGACCAGAAACTGTGCTTTAAGAGGTTCAGGGAAACACTATGTGCATATAAGATTTCACTGCCATTGTTCAATCTGCATTGCTCAGGATGTTAATGTAATTTTAGATGCTTCACCACAGTCAGGGAAAAAAACCAAACTCTCTCAAATTAGCTGATAGCAAAAGCATCTAATGTGTAGCAAATTGAATTGCATTTTGCTTACATTCAACTAAATTAACATTCAGATCTCTGAAAATTAAGAGGTGTATTATTCAACACAACAATATAAAGTTGCTTAATAATGATATTTTGATTACATTTTTCTAATTCAGGTCTGACTGAATGACAATATGACAAAAGTATCTGACGATGACAATAGCATTTGCCTGAGAACTAACACCAGTCTTAAATAATGTTTAAATTTATTCCTCTGTTTTAATTAAACACACATCAGTTCGTTCTGTTGTATAAAATGATTTTCTAAATGGAACCGAAGATAAAAATTGCCTTACTGATAGCAAAGTCAGAGCTTTCAAAATTTCTACACGTGGTTAACAAATGGACTTGAAACGTGAAAACTTGCCGTTAGGCAGCACTGCACAGAAGGCACCGCTAGTTTGGGCCCCCCATTAGCACCATCAGTGTAAAAAGGGATACGTTTGTCTTCAAAGCCAGCGCTGGCGCCCCGAGAGCAGCTTTGGGACTGCAGGCTCTCCCTGCGCTATGTCACTGTGTGCGTCCTGGCTGCCCAAGCCCAGCCCGACGCCATGGCGGGGCTGACCTCATCTACTGCACCAGCTTGCCCGCCTGCCCACCGGCGGCAGCCCTGCTCCTGCTGCTGACAGGGAGGATCAGAGGGGAACCTGGAGATGGGGGGTGGGTTGCAGATGAGGCGTGGTGGGACAACAGACCCAGCCCCATGTTTGCAGAAGGAGGGCAGGAGCGACAGACAAGTTGGGACCATACCGAGTACTTTGAATGGGTCTGAGAGGAAAGGCGTCATGTGCCGATATCAAATTGGAGAAAATTAGTCTGCAACTGGACTAAAAGTCGCAGTAATCCGGGAACAGGGTTTGATATTTGGATTGAGTTTAGATATGCTGCTGAAGAAGCTGCAAAGTGCAGAGATGGCTTGGATGTGTGACTAAATTAACAGGCTTGAGATAGAGATAAAAAGTGATGCTGGGCTGAAGGCACTGGAATGATCCTGATGATAGGAGAGATGCTGGGAAAGGCACACGTCTGTACTAGTTTGTTATAACACATGCTACTTACGACTACAGGGAAAAGAGGGGATGAAAATTATTGTTGGTACTAAAACCAGGACTCTAGTGAAACTTCCAATTAAGCAAGGCTGTGCCTGACCCTTACTTGGTTGGGTTACCTGAGCTGCTGAAGGATTGGCTGGATCCTTGAACACATATTTTTACTTTGAATTTCTGAACACTTGCACATAAAGAAACAACCATCTGCTATTGATGGAAAACCACAGCACTTTCATCCAAACAGTAAATAAAACTTAAGTTACTAAGCAAAATGGGAAGCCCTGGAGAATCTGTACAGTTAAAACTTTCTGAAGGTTTTGTATATGTTGCCAAGTATCAAATGTTTGGATGATAATGACCAAGGGATTAGAGATCAAAACATTTCTTTATTTTTTCATTTTGCTTGCTTTGTACATCTGGCAGTGTCAGGGTATTGTCCATTCCACGATGTCCCCTGTTCAGTTACTTATGCTCTCCGTTCACAAACACGTCTGACTGATTAGCTAAGAGCAGAGGGCAGCCCTATTAGCACATTCACATGCCTTTGCAAACCAGAGATGTTCTAACACAGGTACAGAGTAATTATTCACAGACTGAAGTGGAAGGCAGCAATCAGAAAACCTCTTACAAATTAGAGAACGAGCTGCAAAACCCATGCAAATTGCAAGGGACCTTAGGCCAAATAGTTTTATTTGTAATCACAGCCTAATTTTGCTGGATCAATTTCAATTTTTTAGCATCCTTACATCAGTTTTATCTGACAAAACTGTAGCAGAATTAAATACTGGTCTTCACATCTTCAAAACCAGATGCCACACAGCAGGACAAGAAGGAAAGCGACACACAAAACCAATTCCAACATAAGGTGTTGGAGGAATGTATCAGTTGGGTTTAAGTAACAGTGGCTAAGACCACCTCAGGTGCAACTTCCCAAGTAACAGATTTCCCTGTTTCCCAACCCAAATGGAAAACAAAAGCCACAACGAAAATCAATTAAAATCTAATAAAACCATGGATTTGACAGGAAACAGAACATTTTGGTTTTGAGTATTTTAAATGTTTCTGAATTGGAATAAATTTAGCAATGCAATGTCCTGTCAAAAAAAATTAAGCAAATCGTTTTTCACTCTTTCATTTTTTGCTTTTTTAGCTGAAACGATCTAAGGAAACATCCACTGTATTGTGCTTGCTTTTAAAGTGTTCTGATGAAATCCAAATGTTAACAAATATTTTCTGGAGATGACTTTGATTGCTGCAAGAGCTCTATTTAGCTTTTTCACAAAGCTTCTTTTATAAGGTCAGCCAGTCTCTTGAAGGCCTGAAATGACACAAATATGGTTCACATTTATATTCCAGCATTACTTAAATAGGCAGCATACCAAACCTGTAAGGCTACTAAAACTACCCTAACCATATACAAACTCAGTATTTTATACTGCAAAATTCTGCTGATATTCTCTGTTTTCCTTTTATAACAACATGTATGGGCTTTGACTGGACAAAGCTTCCACTTCTCTGACAGAAAATACAAGGCAGAGTTTTCTGAAACAGAAAAATATATATATTGATTTTCAAAGGTTATTCGGAGTTCAGATGCAACTAAACAATTGTACTTTTAATACTACTAGTGATCTTCTGGAATAGTATCTCTTTTAACTTAATATAAGGGCCTAGAGGCTGCAAGGGTGAAAGAAAAGGAAGAACAGTTGAGTGGAGAAGCATATAAAAGATACAGTTTGACTGTCAATAGTATGGTTATGAATTACTTTTACAAAGGAGAAGGAAGAAATAGAAGAAATACAGAAGAAGAAATAGAAAGGCAATAGAAGCACTTATCTCTTACACACCTTCACAACTGAATGAAAGTACAACTACAAATATTGAACTGTTTCAAGGACCTGAATCAAACAAGTATTAAATCTGCACAAATAAATGTCTCTTATCTTTCTTCCCACTGATTTTACAGATACAGCCAAATAGCATCCAAAATTTCCTAAAATACATAGAAGATTAGTTCCTGAGAAATTAAATACAACATATATGTCAATTGCATGGAAGAAAACCATTATTCTTTCTTATAAGGGATTGACAACACACACACACACGCGCGCGGAAGAAAACAGGTAATTCAATCTCAGGAATGGAAAGTCTGAAAAACAAAAGATATGTGATGCCTGCTAATACTAAAACAAATATCAACACTTCCTCTGACTTCAGTAAAGCCTTTATGAATGATGTCTGGGAGGATTAAATGTGAGACTCTACATGTATGAGATACACAGAAAAATTTTAAGTAGTCCTAAAAATTTGGTACCTTTCAGGTCATTTGGATATGAGTACCTTGCCTAATAAACAGCTAATACTGCTTCAAAAGTACTGCTTAATCACCAAAGTAAGTAAAAATAAGGGAGCATTATTATGTGAGAAACTGTCTTGATAAGAATGTAGAAAAAAAAAATCTCACTTACCAGATCCATCTGGCCTGGAGAAGACAGAGAGAAGGAGGCTCTGACATAAGAACTAGGCTCTGAACTATCAATATTGAATGCTCCTCCAGGAACCAGTAACACCTAAGAAAAATTGATTAGCACCCAGTTATCACCACTTCTACATTATGTTAAATTACATTTGAGAAGGCTCACTGCTGAAACACTGGTATCAGAACATGGTGTAATATATTTCTTCTCTTCAAAATGAGAAGCCAAAAATATGCAACCTGGAATCTTTTCATAACAAAATAAGGGGCTCTCAGATTTTGGTCACCTAGGCTGGTGGGTTACCAGGTCTGGCTTATCATCACAATGTTTAGAAGCACCAGTGAGGCGGGATGTAGTTTACTGACTACACAGTGCTCGCTCTTATAAACTGTAGAAATAAAACCACACTTAATTTCTGTTATTAAAAAGCTATAGTGGACAGCCATCATTCATATAGATACATATATATGCTGTATACATGACATTGTACTATATATTATAATGGTTTAAATTTAAGTAAGCTGATTAAATATCAACAACTGAGTACAGACATGAAAATATTTTATTAATGAGTCACTGTGCAACAATGCCTGACTTGCAGACTTAATGATGATGCACAGCAAGTTCCCCTGCTTTTTAATGTGTGTTCATATGTGCGGATAGATACCATAAATTTATTTTATCCTTCCCTCATTTCATTTTAACATCATAAGCTCTTAAACCATAGGTCATACTTCTTTCTGCAAAGCTTTTTCCATGATCAGCTGCTGTGTATCGGAAACACCCTTAATTTTGATCCATAAGAACATGCCAGCAGCAGGGGGGTACCATTCTGCCAAGTCTGGAGAGAGAAAAAACAGAAAGGAATCAAGAAAGAAACTTCTGCTTTACCTTTAACCGATACATCATAGATTTAGCGATGTTGTAGATTTGTTGCTCCAATGAACTCAAAGGGAATGTAGGCCACAGAGCCAGGATGCCACTTCCCAAATTTAAAGTACTCCTAACCAAATCTGTGTGGGCTTACTGCACTTGTGCTAGTATCCTCAATGCTTTTTTGTGAATGTGATTGCTCTGAATTACAGAAATCCCAACCATTAACAAACTATACTTGTTGATTACTTTCAGATCAAGTAACCTAAAATAATTTTTCTGATGAAGTTTCTCTTAACATCACATTGACTATCAATACAATTTAAAGCACAGCAAAGCGCAAACTGGTTTTCCTTTAAGTTACAATGATTACAGATTCTTCCCCAAAGAAAAGGAGAGCCTAGGAGTTATGAGGCAGATGGGAAGGCTTAGAGAGGATTTATGTCTTAAATTACACTTGCAAACTTACTGTATACCTTTTGTTTACCTAGAATTCTTTATCTGGTTTTGGACATATTTTTGAAGAAACTATTTATTTGACTTGACATCTTCTCCAGCTATTCCTTGGTGTATTTAAACATTACATATTGACAAAATAAAGGTCTGTCTTCCATAATATTATGGCTCCTATTACTAGAAAACATGAAGACCCTGTAGTCTTTTACATAAGTATATTCTCACAATACACTTTAAGGTAGCCCACTGCTATTACACTGGTTTGATACTTGGGGAATTGAGACAAAGAGGACCTACCTAGGTCAACAACCCAAGGTTGTTCAGAGCTATGTAGAAAAAGAAATACTTCAAATCTAAAAACCTGGAATTAGCAAAAATAAGTACATTAATGATTGTGTGGTGCCCAAGTACCCATGTCCCATGGAAGTATCCTCTAAGGTAGGTGGGCAGTTCTTAAGCAGTTATTGCTGATTCCACTTAGACTAACTAAAAGGAGTGAGTCACTAACCGTAATTGCATTATCGTTGATCAAATTCTTTCTATGCTCCGTGACTAACCACAAAAGAGAACATTTGAAATTGATTTCGGACAAATAAATGATTATCGGTACTGCTATATCAATCGTTTATATCTTCTTTTAAATTAAGGCTACTGAATCTGGCTATTTCAGACAGAGATTTTAAAGACAGATTTTAAACATAAAAAATCTTAGGACATAGTGGAGTGAAATATATGCTCTTTATAAAACTGCTTCATACAGTAATGTGGTGAGCTTTTTTCTCATCACCACCTCATTGTCCCACCAGAAAAGTATGAAAAAAAGCAGCACTAGATAATTTGTCCCAAGCTTAATATTTAATGTCATTAATTTGCTTATAGTGTTTATCTGTCACTTCAGTCAAGAGATGAACTTCAGTGATTTTTCTTGAACACAAAGATGATAAATAGCTAGAAAAAAATTTAAGTAATTAGCTGTGTTGTACTCACTGACCTTTCAACCACTTGTCAGCAGCAATGAGCATTGCATCCCTCTGGGTCCTGTAGAACTCCACCACTCTGAAAGTAAATTATCAGTTCAAAGTCATGTTCCCATAGCACTTCAGAGTCCATTTGTTTCCAAAGGCAGAAACAAAGCTTTTCTATTTCAACAACCTAAGTGCACATTTAATGGAAACGTAAGCATATATCCTAAATGGGCACAATACAGCATACTGTGTGTATAAAATTTTGTGTATGTATCAGAGAAGTCTTGAATGCTTCACCATGTCTGCAACAAAGCACTGATCAACCAGACATAGGAAGTGCTTGTGTGGCTGCTTCTTAAGCTTTACATATGTCAAGGAAACTCTTTACATATTACATCCATTCTGTCTATTATATCAGTGGACACAAGTCCTGTTAGCAATATTTACTGCACATAACAGGCATACTGAAGAAAAGGACTTATACGTATGCAAAAGCACAGCCTCAGTATTTGTGCATTTGGGTTGAATTTGTGTAATATGCACACATGGAAATAGTATTTCACAAGGTAAAAAGCAAATCATAGGATAAACCTGTCATGACTATTCGACAGCTTCCCCTTTTCTATCCCCTATCACCTTCACGCTTTAAGTAAAACTACCAAATGATTCAATCTCTTACTAGGGAAAATTACCCTAACCCAAGTTTCAACATGGATAAGTCTTGTGCAGCGGCTTTTGTTGACATAAAATGAGACAGCTATGCAATGGGAGGTACAAGAGAAATGCCTGATAAAGAGTTCATAAATCAGATGCAAATGTGCTCCCTTCTCTGCAGAGAAAACATACCTAGTACTTTGCATGATTTTACATTTAGATTTTTTTTTGTACTCTCTGACCCAATAGCTTTGATTTCTGGATGTATTTTATTACACCTGATAGAAAAACAGTGACACTACCAAAGGCTTATATAGTTTTGGGACTCAGCCTATACTAATTGCTACATTCTGCATGAAATGGTAAATCTCAATTATGCAGTTTTTACCATATCCCAAATTCTGTTGCAAGTTGCCTTTCTGTTATCATTTTACTTTCACGCTGGAATGAAATTATAAGTAAGACAAGACTACCACAAAAATGTAGTTGCTCCAAACAACAGGCTAGCTCCTACTCAAAAGCATGATCTAACAAGTCATCCTTGTCCAAATGATATCACCTGGAACAGATTGCAGTCAGCTGTTGGGCCTCATCAGTAAGTCACCTGGCAACTGAGTCTAGAAGGTTATAAAGTATTGCAGTTACCCTACTGCAGTGCTATTTTCATTAGTTTGAGAGGAAGAACAGCTTTCTGGCTTGAGCAAGGATGCCTTTTAGCCTACAAGAAGAAGGTAAGTGAAGAGATGCATTTAGAGTATATTTTTTGAACTGCTGAAAGTTGAGCTAAAGTGTGGTCCAAGTTTCCCTACAAAACCTATCTTTATGCTCCTAATTCTTAAAAGAAGGCAACGCTACGGCTGGTGCGTCTGCTTTGTTTTTTTTTTAATGCTAGTGTTTACAGTATGGACAACAGGCAGGTGCTCAGGGGACAGAAGTGGCTGTTACAGTGAACGTAAGAACCTTCTCCACGCTTTGCCCACACTCCTGTTACATGCCTCTACGGTGTGGCACACTCCCCCGAGGTAGGAAGCTTGGGGTTCTAACTGCATCTGAAATGAAGCATGGATACTCAGAGAACTATGCTCCTCCAGCATAATAAATGAAAAACAAATGTGTGTCAGTCAGTATGTAAGAAATGCCTTGCTGAGTTAGACCTTAACCCAGTGCTCTGTCTCTAAGAATGGTGATCATGGCAATGTTTAGTGAGTGTAGGTGAACCTCACTGCTCTCTGTAGGTCTTTCTATCAGCATCCACAATCATTAGATTAAGGATGTTAGAGGGTCAGTCCCCACTGAGTTAGTGAGACACGAACTCCCTTTACAGAAGCTATGCTGACTTCTTCTCAATAGATACATGCTCAGTGATCTTAGCCTTTGCTATAGACCCTACCACTTTCACAGGGTTGAAAACTTTATTTACTGACATGGAGGTCCCAGGATCCTCCCGAGTTCCCTTCAGATAGGAGCTGCGTAATGAATGTGCCAGTGTACTGGCAGATTGTCGGTCTGTAGTGGTAGGTTACATGCCCTGACCGGCATGTCTGTAACTTCGCACTAAGCTCCTTCAGGACTCTTGTGTGAATACTGTCAGTCTTGGTGACCTGGCTTACCCATTTGGCCTAATACTGGTGCACCTCCTCTGACCCGGTTACCGCGAAGAATGTTTTATGTAGGTAACAAGAAGCAGAATGACAGATGATGGGATTTCGCATATGACATGACCCTACCTGTCTATATGCTCCAAGAAACCCTTTTCTCCCCATTGCTGAAGCAGCTGTGATATCATAATCTGAAGAAATAAAACACATCATCAATACCATATTTTAAACTGCACTCTTCCGCAGACATCAAAAGATATATAGCCTGATGCATTATCCAAAATTCCACACAGGCAAGAAATTGCATGTGGGGTCTCTTGGAGCCCTTTATAAACAGAGGTGGCAACAGCAACAGGCCATTGTAGTCCATGTTACTGATGTCTCCAAGGATCATGGCCATGTTTGGAAGTTGGGGTGGGGGGAGGCAAAAATGGATGCAGAGCTAAATATAGTAATCAGGGAGAAAGAGGAAGGCAATGTATATTGCTTTACCTTCCTGCCCATATCAGCCTCTCTGCTTTAATACTGCCTCTATGACAAATTAATGGAGCTGGAAGATGGAAGCCATATTTAGATGTGCTCAATGACTCCTTTCCTTATTACTAACCATAAAGGGGCTGTAGTTGGCAGCCTGCTTTGTAATGTCTTTGTGGGCTGCCAGTATTGTTCTAATTGCAAAGTAGAATGAGAAACAGAAAAAAACTAAGTGCTTCTTCCAATGTATGCTTTACATCGAGGTTTTTCAAGTGAATCTACTGGCAAGAGATATAAAGTATTTTAAATCTTGATTTGTGAAATCTGAGGGTTAAGGGCATATTAGCTGTGCTTTCCATGCACTGAGACACCCTCTAGCTCTGGCTGTAATTTCTATGGTGGTCTCTCCTTTGGCAGAATTGACTGTGTATGTGCTTATTATAAACAAAACTACAAAAGTGCACAGCAACTGCAAAAGTGCAAAGCTGTTCGTTTGTGGTTTCTTATGAATTGGAATATGTTAACTTTTCTAAATACAATTCAGTTGGCAGTTTGGTACTTGCCTGTGTGAAAGTGCTGGTGTGCATTGTTGAAACCTGAATGTGTAGAATAACTCTGTCAATAAGAGGCTTGGGACCTGTCAGAAAACCTATTCTTAACCTAAAAAAAAAAGAAAAAAGTTACTACAGAAATGCAATGTGCTAATACTTTGTGTAAGTTGTAGTTTAACTGGGAAAATGTGTAACCATTTCATTGACATTGTAAGGATCTTCTATGCATTTAAGTTTATTTATATCTTAATACTGCCCTAAGCCCCAGGCTTATGCAATTTATTTAATGACTTTGATACTCGACTCATAAAAACATTTAAGGGTTTTTAACGCTTAGAGTAGCAGCTTGGTTCTGAGACTTCAGGACATATCCCACATTTGTAAGCCTTCCTCTGCAACCATAAAGATTACATGAATCATAGGGAAGAAAAAGATAGGTTTTCACATAATGAAAAATCATGAATGCTCAGGCTTTATGAAAAACAGATGAGAAGTGGCAAACAGCTTTACTCTTTCACTCCCTTTCAGTATAGCAGAATAAATGGAATTTAGACTGATAAACTAGATTCTTATTCATGCTTCAATTCTTATAACCCATCTTTATAGATTGGCTGAAGTTTTTCTTTGAAGAAAAATAGAACCAGTAAGCTCATATGCATCTTTGACAAAGATGAAATTGCATCATGCCTTTTTGCTGTGTCACTTCTGAAAGTGCAATCAAACTTAGCATGTCTCCTCACTTTCTCAGGAATGGGGTTATAATCCACTAGCTGCCAGTGCAGAATTCATATTACTTTCATATATCTATTAGGATAATAAACAAAAGCAAGTTAAAAATCAAGTATGTTGACTTGTGGGAAATGGAAAACAGCCAGTTTAGCTTTTCAGGCAGGTGGAAACAACCTGAAAGAACTGTAGGGCTAGAAGATGAGAGATCAGTATAACCCTATGAATAGTTTTTGGAGAATGATGCCATCATTCCTCTTCTGTATTAAAGTCCAGGGAGTCTGCAGGAATGGTAAGATATAGAAGGAGAAATGGAAAAAGAGAGAAAAGTTCCTAGGAGTTCCAGGGACAGAGCTGGAATCCAGCACCTGTCTGCCTAGCTGGTGTCTGCAAGAATGGGCTGCCTGGGGAGAGTGGCTTAACTATCAGTATCAGAAGAGAAACGGAATCTGGAGTTACATGACTGCCAAGAGATGACATGAGAAGTGAGTGGACTGAGAAAAGCTGTGGATCCAAAAGTACATTCCAGAAATGGACAGGTATTAGATGAAAAAACACTATGACATGTCTGATCATTTTGTATGAAGTATTAGTCTTGTGCCTTAACTGAACAGGCAATGCTGAGCAGTCTGAAGCTGGCCTTACCCAGATGAGAGAATTTTAGAGAAAGAGTCAGTCCTGATAACTCGGCCATCCACATCCATTGAGAGGAAAGTTGGAGCCCAAGGCTTGGAAGAAAAATAAAAAATAACATTCAAGGTGCTAGTAAGGATTACGATGGAATTATTTTCTTTACTATGAAGACATAATTAATTTCCTAAAGAAATATTTTGATAGTAAATATTTTACAGATGTGCATTCCAAGGAAGAAATGTAGTAACTTGCTGACAAGTGATTGTTCAGGCTAGCTGTCTGAGATGTGATCACAATGTTCTATGAAAGTCATCAAGAAATCAGCCTTGTTATTTTTTGATGCTTAGCCCACTGTTCACCATACAAGTGTTCAGTTCAAGTTGTGGTATGATGCCATAAGTAGGAGAGAGAAATAATGATTTCTCTGCTATGATTTTTTTTATGGAGTAAACAGAAACTGTAATTTCTAAGATGGGGACCTGTAACTTTTGGCTTTATCTTAAAAAAGGGAAATCAGAAGATATGACCAAATTTTGATGATCTGAGTTCAGCGCACTTTTTTGTTATCAAGAATTCTGCTTTTACACCTTCTCCCCTTACACTCTCTAACAAAGCTACACAATGCTATTCAATAAGTGAAGCAGTTTTATTGCTTCCTCCCATAAAAACATGTTTCAAAGTAGAAAATATTGAACTTTGGCTTCTACCAATGTTCTATTGCTTTATAAGACCAGCTTTTATTCCTGAAATTAGGTACTTTTGCAGACTGTGCAACCGTAGATCCATGTGTGAAGATGGGTCAACACTTGATTGTTACCCATTTGGGGAAAATTTATATGAAGGAGGGAAGCTGCCTATCCAATACTACTTCCTGTGGTATCTGGGAGAACTCCCTCAGGTTGTCTAAAAGGCAAAGGGGTAAAAATTGGGATATAGTAGATTGGGAGTAGGCAGTCTTCCACTGAATGAAAGAAGAGCCTGGGTTGAAAGAAACATTGAGGCTGCTATTTTCATGTGCTGCTTCAGTGGCATACTTGTTTTGCTCTGGAGGCAAAGCCTTTGCCATTTTCTGACTACTGAAGGAAATTCTCTCCTGTATAAGGCTTGAGGCATTTGAACCACTGATTCAGGACAGGACTGATGCAATAAAATGCCACAAAGGGGACAACAACTGAAAGTAGTATAGACTGTGAGGCCTATAGCTACCTTGGCAGGACATGAAGAAGGAGCATGCAGGAAGATCCATGGCTCAAATCTTAGTTCTCTCCTGGACCAGAAAAGAAGGTGTTACTAAGGAGTATGGAAGACAAATTACCTTTTCAAACTGAAGAAAGTAGTAAGGATCATCTTCTATTATGAGGAAATCATATTTTCTTGCAAGCTAAAGAAATAAATAAAAAGTAAAGATTTGTTAAAATGTAAAGACACTGTAAATTCAGTTCTTCCTGTACCTTGGGCCTATTACCAGGACCATGTTATGATCTTATGGATTGCTCATTCGCTATATACAAGGCCCTGTCAAGAGAAGCTTTCAAATGCCCGATTTAGACATCAAGCAATTATAAGAGTAAACATGGTACCTGCAGTACAAGGACACATGCATATAACTGAAGGTCTGTTCCATGTAGTGTTCAAACTGTGCAGAAAACTTGCACTAAGTCCAGTTTGAAGCCCATGGCAAAGGTATCAGCCAGCAATAGGCTACTATTGCAAAAACAATTTATCTAATGCATAGTCCACCTCTGAAGAGTTGTCATGAAAGAGTTTCTGCTAGAAACAAGTTCTAGGAGGAATCTCTACTGGACCAATAATGGGCCCAAATACCACACATGGGGTATCCTCAACTGAAACAAGACTGACATTTATCCATTTCCACCTACAAGATACACCAGCTACGTACCTGGTAAATCTCCTTCTTGCGCTCTGTGGTCAAAGAGTTTCCAGTTGGGTTGCAGCCATTCGGAATAGTGTACAGGAATTTGGGGAGGTGGTGGCTATGATTTTTTACATCTTCTGAGCTCCAAGTAGAAAGAATTTCTTTTAGAGCTTTTGGAATAATGCCATGTTGGTCACTAGGAACATTAATTATGTTACAACCCAAAGGTCTCAGCTGTTGATAGGAGGAACAAAACTGTCATAATCCCATAATTCAAAGGTCTTCCTTTTGTCACTGGCATTGTAAAATTTCATTGACACAAAGTCTTTCTGACTTTATAGCTATCTCAAACTCCATTTGCTCATTATTCAAAAGAAAGTTTGCCTGAATTTGCTGTGGAGCTTGTCAAACTTAACACATTACACTTTATTTGCCCTGTTAAGCCAGCTGAGAAGAAATGGGTACCTCCTATGTCCAATTGCTGCTCTTCTCTAGGAAATCACATAGTTTTGCAGGCAGAAGGGGGTTTTGTGAATTTGAACTGTGTTCTCTGAGGATTTCTTATGCTCTCACCACAGATAGTAAGTTCATGGCACTTTCATTTCCTCCTGACAATTTACATTCTACTTCAGTGGAAGTGCCAGAACTATAAGCTACTCTTCACTGACAAAGGGCAAAGAATCTGTTCTCAATAGATATATTCAGCAATACAAAGGGGAATGAAATGGTGCTACTGCAATGACATGTTGACAGCAGTATGAAAAAATATAGGTAAAATACCAACAAAAAAGCATGCTGTCTCCCCTCTGAGGAATTTCAATTTGTACCATGTAGTGCTCTGCATTTTTAAGTAAAAATGCAAGTTGCTGCAATGTCAAATATATTCCTAGAAGTATATTTGATTAGACAAGATATATTCAAACTTAGCACAGCAAACAGTAACAAAATTCCTTTTGATGCAAGGGGAGACTAGGCTGAAATTGTGGTGTATTACCTATTTTAACCCTTCTTAACAGTTCTCATGCATTTTGAGTTGACATTTATTTACATAGTGATTAAGCTATTTTTCAGAAGTAAACTTTGCTATTTTTGTGTAGTTCTTACTAATTCACATCTTCATACTCATATATGAATGTTTCAGGCCTATTCCAATTTTATAGTATTTATAGCTACAGTGTAATCAGACCATGAAATACCTCAGGTGAATGTGCTGACATGTTAATATACCGACTTGTTATAAATTTGCTTCAACCTGACTAGGTTGTGATGGCTTTCTTTCCAGTTTTAAATGTGACTTTAGCCCTTGAATGAACTAGGATTTGGAAGAGGAACTTCTGTCCTGGGAATAGCTTTTACAGAACTTTTAGTATAAAAGCTTCTATGAATTTATATTTATGAACTGGACTAACACTAAACTTGATTCTTAGATAGGTTTTTACAGTAAATACAGTGTATATAAGCCTGCAGATCAGCTACTAAATTGCCGCTTACTTCAAATACAGCATTCACAATATTTTCTAGCTAAAGAATACTTACAGCTGCTAGTGTCCCAGAGTATGTAGGTGCATCCAAAAGGATGTTGTCACCAGGATTAATGAGCATTTCAAACACCTGTAAAAGAAAAGTCTATTTTAGAAAGATTGTGCCATTCTTGTGCATATGCTTCATACTTCTGACAGTGGAATTAAAAATCTTGATTAGATATTAATAATTCCCTAACCACTTAATTATGCTGTCTGTGAGAAAAGCAAGGAACAGATGAAAAATCTGTTTGAGAGCCAAATGAAGCTAGGCAATCATCTAGAGAATACCAATTTGAAATGGAAAGACAGTGCTCTTGTACAATAGAAACAGTGTTTCAGTTACAGAAAGGATCAACTAAGCAGTGAGAGTGGACTGGAAAGGGTAACTATTTAAGGAAGCCTAACATAATTAGAATTGAGTTATGGTAAAGCAAATAATGCATCTATGTACTTATTACTACACTACTTCTGTAACATGAAATGTTACCTTATAGCGTATTTTCTGACAGGCTCTTTGGTTTACTTGAACATTCATGCAGTCCTGACAGATCAGACTGCCACACCAGTTTCATTTCAGTTCTGTTATCTCGTATTGATAATACCGTGAGATGTACCCTGCATCTAGTTATACACTAGCACTTAATGCTGAGTATAACTGAACTTATGGAAAAAACATCACTCTGAAAGAAATGCTTTTAACATATGAAGCTTTTGGTCTTACTTTACACAAGCCTTCCTGGCTGCCGGTTGTGACACACACTTCCATTTGTCCTTGCTCAGGACTATAATTGGCTGTGGGGGGATTATGTAGATTCCGCTGGAAATCCTTTAGCCAAGACAACAGCTCTGGAATCCTGAAACATGAATAAAATAAGGTGTGTCTAACATCTTATAAAGGCTGAAGCTAGGCTGTTCCTCTAAATCACTACCAAATCTAGCACACAGTCCTGAGTAGGATGTCAACTGTCACAGATACACTTAAGATGCTGATTTTTATGACTGCTTTATCAAATGATGAAAATGATATAAATGTTTCTTATGGAAAGGCAGAAGAGATGGGCATCTGTGGTCCATACACCAATTTATCATACTGAAATCTGGGTGGTAATGATTTGCCAAGGATGGAATAGGGGTGGAGGCTGAACAATATCCACTCTTAGGAGTGATCTTTCCATACTCAAATGTGGCAATGTGACAAAGCTTGCAGTACTGCTAGTAACAGGCTGCAGATAATAAGGATTTCTGTAACAGATTTTTTTAAAAAATATGTCTTAAGATCTTGTAGGATGTTCACAAATGGCTGCGTTCATTTAAATATTAAGAAAAGTCTTAACTTCACTGATTAATGGCCTGTGTGCCTCTAGGTACCTAAATATTTTTGCAAACCTGTCACAAGCCTGACTCAGTGCTGTCTGCTGGGGAGTTCACATGAGTGCTGAAGTAACTTAATGATATGCAATTTTTGTACTAAAGATGACAATACTATAAATACCTCCAACTACCACAAGTAGTACATATTGACTTTAATATATAGTATCAAATGAAAGCAAAACAAATGCTCCAGAATGTGGAAACTATGTATTGCAATGCAGTATCTTTTAATGAGTATCTTATTGCAAAACACAAAATGATTCCTCCTAGTGATCTGGGAGTCTGGATTCTCAAATACTAATAGCCAGGAGATGCTCTGGCTTGAGAATTACTAGTATTAGGGTTTTTTTTTAATTACTCATCTGCTCAAAACTTTCCACTTAAACTGAAATGTAAATAGTGAGGCAAATTGAAAGAATTTAAACCTGGTTTTTGTAAAACAGGTTTTACAAACAGGTGAATTAATGCAATAATAAAGGATTTTATGATCCTTTGATTCTGGTATCTTGAAGTGCAAGCAGCTGTGACAGATACCCTGCTGAGGCTGAGTACTGGAGAGCTCTCTTCATCAGATCTTCCCCAATCTCGACAGCAGTTCCATGTCCAATGGCAACAGTAGCCCTCTTAAATGGAAAAACGTTAGGGTTTGGTGCCCCTCCAGCCAGAGAGATGAGAGATGGAGGAGACTTCTGCATCAGTTCAGCTAGAGTGAAAGGAAAAGACCTTGGTTACAATTCAATTATTGTAACACTGATCATGTTCTTCAGTCAAGTTTGTCCCATTTTTCACTTTATTTTTTTAACTGTCACGAATTCAAAAAGTATGATAATTCTTTTTAAACTCACCCTTCTTCTTGGATTAAATAGGCGTTGGGGGGGCAGGGAGGGAGACATGGGTGGGACAGACGAAACCAAAAAAATCATCTTTGTTAAAATAAATCATAAATAGCTGTTTTTTATCTGGACTGTTCTACTATTATAAAAACTTTTTGTGTGACTGATGTCTTTTAAGCTTCACCTTAATGATCTTCTATTTAGAATGACTTGGAATGATTTGCTTTGGTTTTTCTTCAGTCTCACTTTAGCTGATGTGGCAGTACTGCAGTGACACTAGTAGTTACATGTATGATTATAGCTTTTCCATAAGGGAATGGGAATGGTTCTAGCAGCCCAGCTTTGGTGGCAGAGGCACTGTGTAAATAATTCAGTATGAAGAAAATGTTAACAACTTGTGCTTTAAAATCATAGTTTCACAATCATTCAGATCCAATCTATGCAGTGCAGACTGGACCTTAATCCAGCAAGGGCACTTGATTGCATTAAATCTAAGAGCTTACAATATGGCACTTGTGCTGGCTTGACAGTTTTATATCAGATATGAGAGGACAGATGACACCAGATCTGGCATAAAGCCTCCGGTTATTGAGTTTATTCTCCGCTATTTATTAGCGAACTTGAGCATGGGGAGTTAATTCTTATCAGTTCAGCAACATGGGTCATGTATGTGACTTTTGGTCTGGTAAAGAGATATTTACTTTGTCATCAAAACTGCAGCCTTAATGTGTCTTTCTGCACAAGCTGTGCTACTTTATTTGTGTTATGATGCTTATCAGTGTATCACTTGAAAAAGTATAGAGATTGACTAGAGTGAATTAGTTGACTTAGCTGTACCTGTATGAAGCATTTTAAGCTGAACAGCAAATGCTAACCCTTTACCAAGAGATTAAATTGACCCCTGAAGGCTTAACTAGTGATGTATGTCTCATGCTCTCATTCTGTCAGGTCCCTGTAGGTTTCAATTCAGTAAACAAGTAGGCAGTTAACCTTTTCTATCTGTCACACAGAAAACTGTAACATGGTAGCCTAAAGATAGTGTAATATAGAAAAGGAAAGTGTAGCAACACTGAGGGGGTGGGGGCGGTGAGGAATTTGAGGACATTAACAGGATACAGGAGAGCTAGGTGAAAAGAAACATGCTGGAACTGAATTTCAAGTCATTAGCAGTAGCTTGTTCCTGGACAACCAGCGTAAATTCAGTAGCAAACTGTGCCAAAAGCCCTGCTTCAGAAGCAGTAGCAGAGACTTTTCGGACACCTGTTGAAGTGACAATACAATTTCTTCTGTCTGGATGGGTTTCTGAAATGGCTATTCACTTCATTCTTCTTTATACCTGCTTGGCATTTCAACTTCACAAAAGTCAAAGCAGTTAACTGGCCTTGCTTGTCAGCTTACAGCAGTTTTCTTTCAAGACCTTTCAAGTCTTTAGCCATGATACCCCAGTGAAGTCCAGAATGTAGAATGATACCCTTCCAGAGAACGAGCATATACTCACTCAGAAGTCTTATTGGAGATGCTTTTCTTGCTGCACTCACAGTGGTGATGAACCGAGAGTAATTCATATCTGTAGAGAAAGAGCAATTAATTGAATATGAAACTAGAAAAGCAAATAGGAACCCCAGTGCTTTTGGTATGTGCATCTCCCACAATTGATGCTTCCAATTCATCTCCATAGATGTGCTCTACCATAAATTAAATGTCAACTTACTCATGTTAAAATCAGTGCTGGCATTTCTTTTCCTTTTTGAACTAAGGGAAAAGGTTTCTGCTTCATACTCACAGGTACTGGCACAGCAAGACTAGGCCAGATGCTGCTGTTCTGGTAAACACAAATAGCAGTACAGCTTTGGTCTGGAGAATTTGTTGGTGTGCCAGTGAACAGGAAAAAGCCCTTTTCCCCTCCCTTTACTGCCAGCTGTGGAGCTTTAAAGGCAGATTACAAATCTGGAGATCTGACAGACCTTAAACAACCATCAGCTCTTTTTTAAATGAGAATCCAGCTTTATTTAGCTGTATTAAGTATTGCATTTAAAGTGCTTTAATGATTGCAAGCCATCATTATGAGTCACAACACTTGTCAAGTTAGATGCGTGGTGTTTTTTTGTTTGTGTGTGGGGTGTGGTGTTTTTTTTTTTAGAAAGGATAACTAAGAATGTCTTTCAAAATGCTTCAGATGAGTGTTTTCCCCCTTTTTTCCTTGGTGCTGATAGAGATTCAGTGGATAATGAACTGCAGTCCCGTGGGAGGCCTCAAGGCCTGCTCTCACAGGAAAGCTATCTTCTTCAAAAGGAAGGAAAGCACAGGAATAAAATGAAGGGCACAGAGACCCTGTCACTTTGACTACCACTTCCGAGTGTGCTTCTACTGAATTCGCAGAAAATAATCCTCTAGCAACCACAGCGACATGCATGTGCTGGCAGCTATTAAAAATGATCTGTCGAGCAAGGCTGCTTTAAAAAGCCACCAACCTTATGCTTTCTAAAAATAACTTTCCTTGCCCTCCAGCGCGTCTCCCCCAGCAGAAGCACACCGAGGCCCTGCCGTAGCGCTGTTGCCTATACACAAAGGCTGGCTCCGGCTGTGTTTTCGGGAGTACCTGAGGCAGCGCTTCTCCCCCCCCCCCCC